TGCAGTAACTTTGTGACAGGATAGTTCCACTTTATTGCAACTTATTTTTGTAGGTTTCATAAAGTTGTACGTTGTAAGGGTCTGTAAACTAGCAAGAGATGGCTAGATTTAGAAAATATCCAACCAAACAAATCCTACCCCCTCCCTTCAGTCCTCCCTCCAAAGCCACTCCCTTAACACACGGTGCCTGAGGAGAGTAGTAACCAGTAAGATAATTATGTGTCCCTCAATTTGTGCCATTGTTGAAAAGCCACACTGGTGTTAATCTGGTTTGACCTGTTGCTTTATCCAAACTTTTTGTTCATCACCTTTTCTCCTGCTGTGTTTCTTTTCTTGTTTTGTTTAGCACTGCAAACTGTTGTAGGTAAAGGTGGAACTATACATTTTGGCTGGTCTTTCTCTGCCATTCTTGTGCGACTAGCTCAGTAGTGTTAGCTATAACTGCCTTTGCCAGCTTGTGGAAGACCCTGGTAATGCCTTATGAGTGCATGTAAATGCTGACCAGAGCTATGAAGATAACACCCAGAAGAAGAATTACCTTTTAAGAGGAAATCTGAATTTTGGAAAAAAGTAAAAAATATTTATTGCAAAGCTGTCGTTTTTATCTCCCTTCTGGACAGCTTTGCAACCTTTCCAGGTAGAATCTGCTGAACACTTGCACACTGTATGCCTGATATTTCCCCCCCATCTTTTTTATTTATAGTCGAGCAATTACATTTTAAATAATAGAACGGCTACCACACTGACCTTGTGGTAAGATTGTCTTCTTAACAAATATTAGAAAGGTTTTTATTTCGTTGTGTGATTTAGGATTCTGCACACAAACTGGATTTTTCACTTAATTTGCACACATACGCATAATGAATGTTTGTAGTTGTAGAATCTGAACTTATTTTTGTGTTATGAGTGACTAGGGATATGCACAAATTTAACAATAAGTTGACTTGAAGAAGCTCACAAAGCCCTTATATATATATGAGTCATATATGTAGATGTACAGGTGTATACAGTAGAGGGACTTGAGTCTTTCAACATTGTAAGAGCTCAGTCTAAGCAAGTACACACACACACACACACACACACACACACACACACACACACACACACACACACACACACACACACACACACACGCACACAAACATGCACAGTGCTTGGTGTTAAAAGGTTGCAGCCCTCTCTCTGTCTGTCTATTTTTACTTTGTTTGGTCCATTAAGATCAGCAGTGATGAGAGTTAATGAGTGAAGCCTCTCCACAAAGCAGGCAGTAATCACAAATGTCCTGGAGAGCGGACACACACACCCACACACACATGCACAACATGGATATATATATACACACACAAAAATATACACCAGACTACAATCAATTAAAAGGTCACACTTGAGAACACACACACACACACACACACACACACACACACACACACACACACACACACACACACACACACACACACACACACACATACACACAGCCATCCACAAAAACACAAGCACAAGAACATAACCGCATGCTATAAATGTAACAAACAGGGAAACATACAACATTTACAGTAGAGGAAAAGTTAAATGTTACAAAGAATGTACACCCTTCCCCTTATTCCCATAATGTTCATGAAACATCTGTGAAGTTACAATAATAATGTATGGCTGTACTTTGTGCAGTTTGTGGGTGTGTTTGTCTGTCAAGAAAGATTTAAAAAAAACTACAAATGGTCTAGCATGGGCACAAGTAGATTTCCTTAAAATCTGGAGCAGATCAGAATCAAGGGGTGGACACACAAAGTCCCTTTGCAAGTAAAGCCTCACAGAGCAGCCAGCATGGCTGCAGACTCTTTGCATGTGAAATCAAACAATCTTATTGTGAACTGTGAAATTGATGTGAGGTAATGCTGAATCGGCTGAAAAGTCCTTTAAGTCATCCACACAGAGTGACCCCTTGGTGTCTGATTATAAGATAAGATGTCTGATCTGAGTTCAGCCCGGCAGAACATTGCTTATGACATTTATGAGTCAAATATCCGCTGCCATTTTGTGAGTCACAAGGGAGAGAGTGAGCAATTCCATTTAACTTAACACCAGAATTTAATCATAAGAAAAAACTGCATTCAAATCATCAGATTTCATGCGATTTTCTTTAATGATTTTCGATTTCTTTTTGTGCAAAAATCCCTGGGGATAGCACAGGTAAAAAATTACTCAACTTAGAAGTAGTATAAGGAGTTGAAATCGCATTTACAACTAACTTTAGAAATATGAAGAAGAGGGCAAAAGAAAACAATAAAAGAATACTTTGTAACTTCAACTACAATTGAGTTTTAGTTATATAATTTACGTATCTGCTGTTGACCTCTGATCACTTGTCTAAAGGACAATGTCAAAGCTTCATGTTAAGCTTCAAGCTTGGTTTAGAGGAGCCTAACCCCAGCTGGGTTTAAATTTAAACTTAGCCTAGTTACAATGTAAATTATTACTATGGTATGATTTGTGTATGACTGAAATAAAAGTGGTTGCACCATATATTTGAGTTACAACATAACTCTAAGTAAAAAGTAAATAGTTATACATCGGCCACTTAGTTATGACTTAACACAAACTAGTATCAGATTTAATTACAAACTAACTAGTAGTTACTAAGCCTCTAGTGTTGACTTTACACCCTAATTTTAGGAGAGAACTTTGACATAACTGGTGCAACCTACTGCAGATGTTTAAAAAGGTAAATAAAGGATAAATTAATTTACAAAACCTTCAAAACAGCATCTATTAAAGCATCTAACCCTAGATATGCGAAATTCTCTGAGGATTTGAATTATTACTTTGTTAGGAGTTAGGAGGCCTTTGTCATCATGGTTACATTAATAACCACTTGGTTAAGGTTAGGAAACATGGCTTCTGGTATATCTGCCATAGCTAACGCATGCAGAGTCAAATGCTGCTGTTCTGAATCAAGAGCGCATCTGCAAAAGCTTTGCAAATCTAGGGTAACCATCTAGACGTGACTGTGGAGTTGACCAAGGAGCTCCATAAAACCCTTTTTATTACAACAAAGTTGTAAAGAACAGGGCGGAAACAAACAGTCCATTTGCACTTCAACTTCTTTCATCACCTGTCTTTGGTAAACATTTCCTCTTACAGTGGGAGCTATTACAGAGCAGAGATGTGGAAACTCACAGTTGGTTGACTGAAAAGTCTGCTAATGGTGTGAAACATGACAACATGGCTGAAAGCATGGTTACTTTCAGACCTTTAGACTTTACACAACTGTCCATTAGCAGTTTCCAATATGACCTACTTCCACTAAAACTGTGAAAGCCGGCTGAATAGGAATTAAAGGTGTAATATTATTACATTGAATCTGAAGACTTCAGTGTGATTATATCAATAAAACATACACAGTACAGTGTATGTGTGATAAACTCTTAATAACATCAATACCTTGGTTTATGATAATAAAGAAACATGTCACCTAGTATTTCTTTATCTTTTCATGGTATTTGTTTATATGATATAAAAAAAGAAAACATCAGACTTATTATTTCATATAAAGAACTCAGATTTAGTTTTCAATTCTGTTTTGTTTATTTGCCTTACCTAATCCCAACCATTACCGAACCCAATATCTGTCACAGTGGATGTGCTTTTCTAAGTGTAACTAACCTGTTCAGCTTCATTTCTGGTTGTTGAACACTCCCGGAGGTCAGGTTGTTCTGAAAGGGCATCATTTAGCATCACAATCCTAGCACCACCTCCTTATCGCCTCTCCCCAGGTGATTTAATCCTCCCTTTCAAGCCTGAGCTGAGTGGCAAGACACAGGGCCATTTTATTGGTCCGGTTTCTGGAAGTGTTTCAGAAAGTCCTTAAATAAAGACCTTTAAGCTGTTGCCTGAAGCCGACATTTAAGAAAGGGAACCTCATAGCAATTGATTTAAATCCAGAAACTATTTGAAAAAGGAAAAGAGTTAGAGACAAACTAAGCCAAATATCCAATTGCTGGCAACGTGTTGCTGTCCATGGTGCTGAAAGTTTTGTTCTGCCCATCCAGAGTCACACAGTTTCTATGTTGTGCTTTCAAACTGCACAATTCTTCTCTCTTATTATTCTGTGTTTGCTATCATGAAACATAAGAGGGAGATAGAAAACAATGAGTAAAATAATGACACAGGATTGAATAGAATCGGGAAAGAATCTAAAAGATGCAACAAAGGAAGAAACTGTTGTAGAAGAGATATGAAGCAGAAATGGCCATAGGTAACACTTGTCTTTTTTTTGTTTCTACAATTTATGTCAGGCTATTTATCTTTATCTGTCTATATCTATCTGTGGGTGTGGTCAAATACTTGCTGATAGGATACTTAGATGATGCTTCTGGGAGATCTCAAACTTACTACTGGGACAGCTGGCACTTAAATTAGCTTCTAGGTCAAAAAGGAAAGAAGGAGGCATTTTAAGGGAAAACAAACACTCACTGTTTTTATGTCAGTGTTACTGAACTTTACATCAATCAGCTAACACCCATAGGGAAGAAGTGAAGGTCGCTTGCTTGTTTGTACTCATATATGTCAACGTGTCGCATCCTTCCGTATGATCACATCCATGGTGTTTTCATTTAGAAGCTCTACTTGGCTGACCTGGGATAGCGATGTTTGATTTAAAGCAATTAAAAAGTGGTGATTTAAAAAAAAAAAAATATATATATATATATACATTGCAGTTCATGTGATTGGAAAGGTCTACTGACCACCTAAAAAATATATACACTTGCCAGACATTTTGTGGAGACATTAAGAGTCTCATAATAGTTTGAATGCTGTTTTTCACCCATTAAAAGAATGAAATGTTGGGGTAAACACACAAACAACAAGTTGAGTGTTTGAAAGTTTTAAAGAAAGGAAAATGTAAAAAAAATATAAATCAACCATTAACAGCTCAAACTGATCAAGCTCATGTTGTAAAACTCCAATCATCAAACAATCAGCCAGACAAAAGACTCAGCTTTGAAAAATAAAACAATATATTTTATTTGGTGAGTGGTGTACATCACTATATGCACTAAAGGCAGGTCTATGCTCAGTTATAACGTCTTTGCTCTACATATTGAATAGTATAAAGTGATTATATGCATCAGCGTCCATTCAAAATGTTTTCCACTTCCTCTTTCTCCTGTATCTTTTTTTTAATCATCAAATGACCATGTTTGGATTCTCTAAAACAATTCAGTCGGCACTTACATCATGATTGCACCGTTGAAAATGGATGTGACAACGGCTTATTTGTACTTAACACAACAGATGTTCTGTTGAAACTTGTCCCTATTTGTTGTCCCATTTGTAATCGAACAATACATGTGAGGAAAGTTATCTTCCCAATGAAATGGAATCAATCAAATGTTTCATTGTAATTGTATGCAGCTATTGTTCTATTAACGGTAAATGAGGCAATATAATTTTTATAAAGCACAGATTCCACTGAAAACCAATGGTGCTAGAGTTCTCCATTGAAAGTTAATGGAACTATTGGTTAATATTAGTTCAATTAATCAGAATCCAATTAGACAGATGTTCCATTTAAAGTTAACTGTTGTTTCACAAATGTTTAACTTAAAGCTAAAGGGATAGATACACTGAAAACAAAATGAATACATAAAAATCAATGCTGTTCCATTGACGTTCAACAAGGCAAATGTTTAACTGAAAGTCATTTCAATTTCCACTCAAATTTTATAGAAGTTAGTTCACTGAATGTTATCGGGAGAAATCTTTCCACTGAAAGTTAATAGAACAGTTATCTTGAAACAAAATGTGACAAATAGTCCAGTGATTTTTCTTTTTTAATAAAGCAGTGATTTCACTGAAAGCTCATAGTGCTAGTGTTTCATTGAATATTATTTGTACAAGTTCTCCATTGAAAGTTAATGGAAGTACTTGTTAGTGGATATGAGTCAAAATTCAATCACACAGATGGTCCATTCAAAGTTAATTGAACAAATGTTGGTTTCTTCTTAATGCCAAAGTCACAACAGATCCACTAAAATTCAATAGAAAAGTAAAAGTAAATGCTGCTCCATTGATGTTCAATGGGTCAAGTGTTCAAATGAAAGTTGATGGCACAAATTTCACTCAAATTTAATAGGGCAGCAGCAAAATTCCATTTTATAGTATACAAGTATCTTCTGATTAATACTAAATGGTTCTGTTGAAGTTAAATTTCTGCAAAGCAATGATTCCCACTGAAAGCCGATAGTACTAGTGTTGCACTGAAGGTTAGTTGGACACATTCTCCATTGAGATTTAATGTGAGTGAAATTTCACAAGAATTCAATCAGACTTATTTTTTCATTCAAAGTTAACTGAACAAACCTTGGTCACTTAAAACTAAGGTTACAGTAGATCCACTGAAAATCAATGGGAAAGGTACGCTACTGAAAGTAAATGCTGTTCTATTGACATTCAATGGGTCAAACGTTTCACTGAAGGTTGATGGGACAAATTTCACTCAAATTTAATAGGACAGTGGTAACTACATAAAAAGTTATAAGAAAATGATTCCATTAAAAATAAATGGAACAAAGAAAGTAAACATAGTTATTTTGTTTATATTTACTGTTGCCAGTTGTCATTTTCAAACGCTGATGACCAAACTGCTCGTGGACATGCATGTTGCTCAGTGCGGCCCGCAGTCTTTGGCCCAAAATCTTTAGTGATTAGTATATATATACTGTATATATACAGTGTAAACATGTACTGTGTGTATGAATAGATAGATAACCACATTGGAGAACACATCATCATTGGTTGATTTGACTTTCAAATGTCCTTTGGATTAATACTCTGTTGGTTTTGGAATGGGCGGTTTCATGAAGATGACTTGAGGTATTCACTCCAGCATGGGCCCCTCCTCAAAGTGGCTGCAGGAGAGGGGAGAAAATGGAAAGGGTTATTGATCTAGAACAACAGAAAACTGACAGTCCCATAGTATCAATATAGTAATGTATCCTTAGTGTGAATGTGTGATGGTTGTAACAGAAATATTCTAGTTATTTAAAGGTTCACATATGAGGACATAATGTTTGTGTGCTTTTGAACTTTTATTTTTCGAGGGATCAACTTCAGTTTTAGACCTGCGTGTGTGTTCCTACCAGTTGAAGGTTGTTTAGGAGGTGATCCACATTGATGTCATTGTAGCTCTCCTGGAAAGAGTTTGGTTCGTCCCTGGACTCCTCCAAGTCGCTGGTTCCAGGATCTTCTAGGCTGTGAAGAAAATTAATACACATGAATAGTTTTATCTTGTGAACAGTTTTGTTTTGTTTTTTTAGTGCTCACGGTTGTGCTGTGTTCATAGAGTACTGGGAAAGTCTGTGTTAAATGGTCACATCACATGCTTTTTACTAGCAGCTGTTGAATAATGCTTTGGTTTAGATTTACAACGATATGTTTAAGAAGTTGTGCACAATGTTCTGAGGATTTTTGTTCATGATATAATAAACGTCGCTCATAATGTGTTGGCTAGTCTGGTTTCAAAACGCTGAGCTCATTGGAGTCTCAGCAAGCAGCAACCACAAAAATTGAATGGTGAAGTCAATGTGAATGTTCTTAATGGCTGCTACTGTACATACTGATTTGAAAGAAATACAGAATTCCATTAAAAATCCTAACCCCTTTCAATTAGTCAGCTTAAGGGTGAGAATGAAACAGAGATGGACAGGGGAAGGTAGGGAGGGCTGATACCCACCTTCTCTTTCCTGTTAAGACTGAGTTCAGGTACTTCTTGACGGCCATCTGTTTGCGGAAGCGGCTGTAGTTGTCTGTAAAGATTGCGTCTGAGTGGCGCTTCACTGGCTCCTCCATCAGCTCATCACTGGTCAGAAAAGAAGAATGAAGGTATAATAGTGTCACCACAGTTCAGGGGGCAGCAGGTTTCATTGCCAAATCAGTGCAGCTCAGGATCTGTGATACATGATGTCTTTCTTCTCTTTGTGTGTGTGTGTGTGTGTGTGTGTGTGTGTGTGTGTGTGTGTGTGTGTGTGTGTGTGTGTGTGTGTGTGACTGTGAATCCCTCCTGGCTGTAATGTAATGAAGCAGTAATGGTATAAATTAACCTTTAAAAATGTTTAGTCAATTACAAAATGCATCATCAAGCAGGTCGAGTCTTTTCATGGCAAATGTCAGCTGGTTCTCTGGTGTTAAACTGTAGACATTACCCATAGAAGTCACCTCTCGCTACATGAAATAATAAAACATGATGTATTTTGCAAAAAGTCTCCCATGACATTGAAGTGGAAAAAAAAGGGTTCGGTGAAAAACTAAAATGAGCTGACTAAGATTTAACAGCCAAAATCCCTGAAGGACCATCACAATCACAACTTTTAATTTCCTTCAAAATTAAGCCACACTTTAAAAATGCTTACTGCTTTCTTTGTGTGAGTTTACTTCAGTATGAACACAAACAACTCTGACATAACATTGTAATGAACAGTTTGTTACGAGTCTGAGGTGAGATTTCTCCCACTATGTGTGACATGTCTCCGACACCCTTTTTACATTTTATCTACACTTACACCTTTTTAAAGGACGAGGCTAATGTTGGCTTCAGAGAACCCTGTCTTTATCCGTTTTTCTCCCCTTTTCTCTTTAAAATAATAACAAATCTGAAACCATGTTCAAATTTTTTGGGATCTATCACTTTACAGATCCAGGTGTGGCAGATCTACGCAGCAGCTAGTCTTGACAAAGAAAAAAAAAACTGAAAAAGGTGTTTAAAATAGGTTTTAGGCTTTATGAAATCCCATTTAACAATTTCAAGCAATAAACAATTAACTAGAGTTTTCCATTTAGTAGTGATTCAAAGGCGTCTTCCTCTCGGTCTCTCCGGACGGGGAGGTCACATACCTGACCCGCTTCCCGATCAGAGACTCCAGGTACCTCCGCGCTGATAGCTGTCCGAGGAGTTTGCTGTATCCGCTGGTGAACAGACCGTCTGCGTGTCTCGTCGGTCTGCACAGTATCACAGGACAATTACAATAACATCTGGTTACATTTGATACATCGAAACACTAAATACTACAACAACGCGTGTCAAAAAAAAAAAAAAAAAAAAACGCGCACCAGCTCCAGTTCTCGATTCTGCTTAATTCTGACGGTGTTTCGGTTGTAATTATTGCTACTAATAATGATCTAAAGCGGGCAGCACGAAGACTTAGGTCACACACAAAAAAAGGGAAAAAAGATAATAATGATTCACTTCTTAAAGCTACCAACAAGCTTAAATCTTAAAGAGTTATCTGGTATGAAAGGCAAATAGCCAATCACAGCATCCCTTTCAGGAGACTAGAAATACAGTAATGCACTATAAGATCATAATTTAAACATTACAAATATTAAAGCGATTTTGGTGTAGTTCTTAACTTCGTTTTTGCTCTCTCTTCTCTGTTCTCTTTGAAACAATACTCTTTCTGAGGCACATTAATGTGATCCACGACCTCTGGCATCAATTACACACAGCATTTGTAATTATTTCTTCTTATTTTGTTTCGAAAGAACAATGGTTACCCTTACCTCATGGATGTGTACGGCAGACTCAGAGTCCGGGAGTATAACACACTGCACAGGGCTATTAGGAAAAGCAGCTGGGGGCCGGTTCGTTGTAACATCGCTTTACACCTGAGGATGGAAACAGTAATGGGTTATTCTCCATCTAACCTGAACACATACTGGACCATTTCCCACCAGTCTGCCGACGACCAGGCACTATCCTCCATACGTGACCCGTGAAGTTTTATTCATTACCTTAAATCACTCCCAACAATTAAGTCGTGAACAAGTGGCAAAGGTAAGGGAAAAAAGCGTAGTTTAGCCACGAAGAGCCGTTTGGATATCGATCTTTAATAAACCCCTCATTTAATGGTGAGTTTCGTCAGAGGAGAGCAAAAGACAGGCGGAATCTAATGCGTAATTACGCACGGCTGGCGAGGACAAACCCCATTACACCCCAGGTTCACTGCCAAAATGCTTTCCATCTCCTCAAAAATAGTAATCAGAGTAAATTTAACCGTCCAATCTCCGGGCAGTTTTCCGCTCACGGCTATTAGAGATCATTTAACTATCGGTTTCAACCAGTTCTTAACTGATTCAGATTTTAGTCAAGTCACTGCCATCTGAAAAGATGCAAAACACTTCGCTCGGTGGATGGTTAATTTTGACAGAAAATAAACACAGCGGAATCCAATGCGTAATTACGCACAGCGCGGACACCGGCGAGCTCTCAACATCTTATTACACCGCGGGGACGCTGCAGTTCTGTTGCCACCACAGATTAAAACCCAAATGTAATGTGTCGAACTGCTGCTGACATTACAACGAGCAATTCATTCTACTTAAAACTCCATATTAGGTTCTTTGGCAAGACTTTTCCAAAACCTGGTTGGAGCGCGCAAAAAGAAAAGAAAAAACACAAGTTGAAAATGACCAAACACAGACACAACCGAGAACCCACCATCTGATGAAGCTCTAAAATAATTTCTATGTAAATATAAAATCTTACATGTACTCTAGAGGAAGTTGTCAGATTTTTGCTCTGTCCGCTGCGCTCTCCAAAGTCCTGATCTCGAGTCGCTGCTGTATCTCCACTCTGTTGACCAGATGCTTCCTGACTCTCTTTGTCTTTCTGTCTTTCTCGCCTTCAGGTCTGCTCCCGTTTTATACACCTGGATGTTTCTCATGGAGCAGGAGGGGACATCAGATTCGATCAGGGGCCTGAGACGTCAGTAGGTCGCTGCTTCCGTCATCGGTCTTGCTCACGGTCGCAAACGTACAGGCTTATGGTGAAATTAGAGGGGAGTTTTTTTTCTTTTCTTTTCTTTTCTTCTAACTAACCGTAGGAATAACTAATTTATATGCCAACGTTGATGGTGTTGACTCATCTGATCCTTTTCCCCTGGGCTCTTCTCCCATCACAGTGCTGGTCAGGTGCTGCAGGAAGGGAGACATTGGAAATTGGACATGAAATCCAAATGAAAAGGATCTGAAATAGGAAGTTAACTCAAGAGTTTACTGCAGATGTATTTTACAAGGTAGAAGAAGAAGAGGAATGACAATATAAGGGAGAAGAAGGGGGTACAAGGTCAAGTCTCCACAAACCAAGAAACAGTTAATAAAAAACTTCATTATTTCACACAGCACCAAAGAGTTTCTACAAATAATAAACATAAACTGATGTAATATCCACATCAAATAAATATAACATGAGGTTTTAGACCCCCCGGATACTATCTCCATGAGCTGCAGTGATAAACCTTATAAGAGCTTTTTTCCCTTATTAATTTATTTCAATCATGTTTATACTGTATACATGTAATGTATAGCAAGCTCTTGTTTTTATCTTTATATTATGGTCTGACATCTGAAAGGAGAACTCATAGAGTCGATGCTGTGCCCAGAACTGGTCCAATGGGCTGGTAAAAGCCTCAACTTAGCTATTGTGACTGTATATTTAGGTAATGATTGGTAGTTGCTTATTATGTTGATACACTTTCAGAGTTAAATATATATAGTCATGATTGTGCTGTGGAGAAATCAATAAATCATGAACTTGTCATAATCTCTGAATGTCTGTTTAGCTGTTTTTTAGCTCTTGGGATGTAAAATATTTAATGCACAATGTCTGAGAACGACTCTGCTGAAGATATTCTTATGCTTTCATACTAACAAAATTATTTCAAAATAAACTTTTTTCAGCCCACACCTATTCGATACCATTTACCCATTTTCAGTCTCAAACCAAATCAGCTTTTCATCTTTCCAGTCGACACTAGACCAGAGAAGTTGTCCCTGAAACATCAGTATTTATGTGTGTAAAATGTGCAGAAATCAGAAATATATCACTGTTTATGTCACATTTGAAACCCTAAATATCAGACAAATGACACTTACTGAAGTACATATCATGAATAATAAAAAAGTCCAGCCTGCAGTATCACCAAATTCCGAACCAAGACTGTCAAATCTGTCTTCAGGCAAATATGATCTTGATGAACATTTCTGAGTGGAGATTTTTTTTAACATTTGATGTGTTTCACACACTCAAATTATCACACACACTAGACATACAGTACTTGAAAGTATGCTATTTTCTTTAAAACATGCATAAAAACTATGTGTTTTATAATACAGAAGAAAGGTTATCACGGGCAAACTGTAGCTTGTGGACCCCACTTTGAATGACTTGTTATAAATACGAGTTGTTGTCCTGTCTTGACACAAAAAATTAATTCCACAACAATGTTATCAAAATCCTGTTGCAGCCATTTATATCTATTTGTTTATATCCATAGTGCCACCGACAGTGCTGAGGACTGGATCTCGCAGATTACCATTTTAGACAAACACAATAACATTTTTGAGGGTTTTTGCAAGATACTGGCACTGTTTTCTATTTCAGATTGCGCTGGGCTTTTACAAAAGGACACCGCACAGGAGTGAAGTGTTTCTGAATCCACCCACAGTGTCCCTGATGAGCCTGATTTGCTCTGCTGGAATGGCACAGTGAATTAGTCGTGACGTTGGCCGGCGCCCCATCCAGCCCTCCATCCATCCCTCTATCCATCCACCCATATGCGTGTGAACCATTTAGCCAGTATCACTGGAGAGAAAAAGATGATTGGCTTAGACATGACCTACAGAGAGAGTGCAGAGCTTCTGTAGGTGACAGAGCAGAGATAGGGGGAAACAATTATAAAACAAAGAGAGAAGAGGCAATAGCGGTGTAGAATTAAAACGATAAATAGATAAACAAGTATCAACTTTAAATTACGTTATGTCAAATTAGCCATGAAAGTTATAATAAATGTTATTTCCTTCATTAGATTTGTTCATTTGTTTAATATCTTATTAATATTTTAATGTAAACATAGTATTTTAATTTGAGTATTCACTACAACCTTTTTTCTGTTATGTTGTCATTAACATCACCTCAACATCTTCTCTGACTCATATTCCACATTCCAAACAACTTTTAATATTTTGTCTAAAACTCTTATCACACTTAATATTTCCTTTGTATTATATGTTATGGACCATGATTAATATCGTCATTTTGTTTTTCTACGTGTTATCATTTCTTTCAACTAGGGCTGGGTGATGTGGCATAAAAATAAAACATGAACAATAAAAACAAAACACCACACTTAAAAACAAACATTTTATGTTTTATTATGTAATTAGGTGAACTCAAATCCACCTTTAGATAACAGTCAAAGTAAAAGGCTTTCAAGTTCAACAGAACTGAATAATAATTTAGAAGAGAAAAATGTTTCTGTCCAGTTATAATAAACTTTTTTTTCTGTCATATCAGTTACTATCTGTAGAGTCTTTTGAGCCCATGCCCTGTCAATTTTATTGGTAAGTCTGTACTAATTGGAGAAAGGAGGGGCTAATTCATTGGAATTGTATTACTTTAATTCTAAGTTTTGGTTGGAAAAAACCCTAAAATGGTACAAAAAGCATCCTATATTGTCACAAGCTGCTGAAAAACATTTTTACCTGCCCGATCAAATAAAAATGACCAATTTGTGCATAAATCTGTCTAATTAGGGGTGCTCTTTTGGCTGTCCTTTGGCTTTGGTAAGTACTAGTAGTTAGTTGGGTTTTTCTTTCAATGTTTCTTTATTTCAGATTCATTTCAGTTTTAAGCTCTTTGAGTCCTCTTTTGGTTGTATTTACTTCTTTGATTTAAGCACCACCAGCCCTCCTTTGTAGTTTTGCCTTACCCTTTTCATTTCGTAAAGGTTTCTTATTTCCTTAAAATAAATACCTTTGATTTGCCATTAAAGACCTTTTCGAGCTGGGTCGTAACAGTAGTTTGCAACTTTTTGCACTGCCCCAAGTAGCCAAAACACTTTTATTGAGACACTTTACTGAGTAAAATGTAACATACAGAATATTTTACACTTTGTGCTTACCACTGGCCATCAACTTTAAAGACTCACCTGACGGAAATTTAAAAAAATACATCAGAATTTTGGATTTTCTCAGTGGAGGTTTTGGAGAGAATTTTGTGCTAGGATCAAGAGAAATTTGAAATTTCTAAAAGTAATGTGAGATATACACTGATCAGCCATTATATTGTGAGCACTGACAGGTGTAGTGAAAAACATTGATTATCTGGTTATCATGGCACCTGTCATTGGGTGGGCTATATCAGGCAGCAAGTGAACATTTTGTCCGTAAGTTGATGTGTTAGAAGCAAGAAAAATGGGCAGCGTGAGGATTTGAGCGTCAGAGCATCTCCAAAACTGCAGCTCTTGTGGGGTGTTCCAGGTCTGCAGTGGTCAGTACCTATCAAAAGTGGTCCATGGAGGGAAGAGCGGAGACAGGGTCATGGGGGGCCAAGGCTCATAGATGCAGGTGGGGAGTGAAAGCTGGCCCGTGTGGTCTGATCCAACAGACGAGCTACTGTAGCTCAATCTGCTGAAAAAGTTCATGCTGATTCTGATAGAAAGGTGTCAGAACACACAGTGCATCGCAGTTAACATTATGACCACCAGGGTGCCCTGGTGGTCATAATGTTATGGCTGATGGCTGGTGTTTGGAGAGATAGATAAAAAAAAAAAAGATCTTTAAAGATGGGAGCAAGCATTTTTCAATACATATGATTTATATTTGCTTGCATTTGTGGTTGCGTACCTGATGATGATCATAAATTGTATTTACCACTACATCATGACAACAGCATATCTGGCCTTCCTCTTTCATATCTCCTTCCAGTCAGCAGATGACCCCGAACTCCTCCTCCTCCTCCCCCCTCTTCTTAACCATGATGGCACCATCTGAACCGTAATGTGATCAGTCCAGAGAGAAAGTAGATTAGGCAGAAGTCCATGGGAGAAGGAGCTGGTCTAATTGACAGCAGTGATTGGAGACAGATCCCTGCAGGAAGAGGAAGCTGATGGAGGAAACATCAGCGTTATTATGTTGATGGAATGTACGGTTGAAAACGTTCCTATAGATGACTAACAGGCCACCCCACCTCTGTACGCAGGATGACACAGAGGACTGAGGACAACAGGAATGTAATGTCTTCTTCCTTTAGTGGTGCTTCTTTGACTTCCCCTACCAGCGATGGCTCTGTTAGTCCTACTTGTACCACTACTACTGCAACAAATACTTCTGCTACCACTGCTATTGTTAGCTCTAATATCGTGCCCACTTTTACTACTACAGCTACTGTCAGTACTGCTTCAATGAAACAGTTGGATGCTTACTTTAAACTTACATACATTTACTTCAAACTTTCTGACCTGATGAAGATCCACGTGTCACTATTAAACTTTTGTGGCATGGCATGGCTGATAGCCTTGCATCCAGGTGAAGTGCATATAATTACTCTCCTTTATATAATTACTCCTCTTCTATAACTAATTCATCTTGGCTAGATTGTGAGTCATTGTGGCAAAAAAGGAAAAGAAGAGAGCCGTGGTCCACTACAAATCTCCCATTCCTTATGCTCTGTGTGCATTGTTTATTTACTCATGCAGTCACCTGCAGTTGTCCATCATGTACACTGCATACATACTTGCATAGAGCCCAGATATCAAACAATGTGAGTTGTTCACTCAGTGGTGGAAGAACTACTCAGATCCTTTACTGTAATAAAAGCAGAAATTCCATGGTCTAAAAATACTCCAT